GTGCCCTGAGGACTTACCGCCCACTCTCATTTGGTGAGCGTATAGAAGTTTTTACTTTAGCAACTTTGACTAGTTGAAATGGTTATGATCAAGCTAAGTAAAATTGATTTGCCTCAAGGTGAATTAAGCAGGAGGAAATTATCTGATTGGGCCCATATCACCCTGACTCCGACGCTCACTAATTACAAAAAATAATTCCATATTTGTTTCAAACCACTTAAATGCGATAGTTCGGAGTATTTTTAATTTACGCAGAATATCTCTTTCACCTTTTTGAATATATTTATTTTTTAATATAGATATATATTCGTTCCCAATAATGGTTTCAATAGATAAAAAGTTCAAACAGATACTGGGTTTTTTAAAAGGTGCAAATTATCATTCGAGAGTGGCCTCGACAAATTAAAAAGGAAATGTCATGGCGCTCCTCTCATCAGTAATGTTTCTGCAAAATTCTCATGTTAAAACGGTATTCTATCCGCCTTCCTGTATAAAACTAATTCCTTAATACCTTAATTTTTAGGAAAATTATTACGGAAATCATCGAGCGCATTGGTGGACAGAAGCACGTACAAACTTAAGTTAGACAAAAGTGATCAGTGGTGTCGGATATGGATTGCCAATATTGTCTTTGTCGGTTAATCGGCGATCGGTAGTGACGTTGTAATAGGTTTCATGCCCTGGTACCTCATCTATAATTCGCAAAATTCTGACCACTTTTATCCCAAAAGTGTTTTTGTTCTCGCAGGCTCCAACATCTGTTCTTAGGACTACTTTGAACCTGTATTGCTCTATGCCTCTTTTGTGTGTTTGTTCGGGGTAGTAATCCCTGATCGCTAGTGACGTTTTAAAGTTTCATGCAGTGGTACCTCATCAATAACTCCCACAAATCCTGACCACTTTTATCTTCAAAGTGTTTATGTTTGTGTAGGCTCCAACATCTATTCTTAGAAACACGTTCAATTGCTCTATATCAGCCTATTTGCAAATAGAGAAAGAACAGTTTTTAAATTCGGATTAAGGTCTCGTTTAGCCGCAGGTGCAACCGGTTTAAAATGAAGCGGATTCGGACTAAATTTATGCGTCACAGTATGTCACTTAATTATATCCGGTCATGGCTTGCACTGTAAACAACAACGCATTGTTATATCATTCTTGCTGTTGTTAGTTTGATGTTGGAATCCGAAATCACTGAAATAGTTGAATTATTTTGAAGACCTTCGAAGCAAAAATGAGAGGGATAACTCAGATGAAGTGTTCTATGATAGGCCATCGGTTTTGTCCTTAATTACGCGGCTCGATGTAAGGGAGGAGGAGGGGGTGGGGGGGGGGGGGGGGTTCGTAACCCCAAAATATTTTAAGGAAAACCAAAGTCCCAGGGGCCAAAAAAAAATATTTTTGTGGCGGGGCGATGTTTGGTTAAAAATTGAAAACACCCATTGTTCATGTTTTCTAGGGTTTAGGGTAAAGAAAGGTGATGTTGTTGTGATTTGTGAGTGTTTATATAAATATATATTTTTTTTTTTGATTTTTTTATTGTTATTTGGTTTAAAAAGTAAAAAAAAAATAAAAAGTAGATATTGATTTATGAGAAGGGAAGAGAGAAAGAAGGGAGGGTGGGATAGGGGTGGTGGGTGTGGGGGGTGGGGGGGGGTGTGGGGGGAGGGGGGGGGGGGGGGGGGGGGGGGGGGGGGGGGGGGGGGGGGGGGGGGGGGGGTTCGTAACCCCATAATATTTTAAGGCAAACTAAAGTCCACAGGGCCAAAGAAAATTATTTTCGTGGCCGGGCTCAGTTTGGTTAAAGATCTGAAATCGCCATTGTTACGTTGTTACATCGATTACGGCTAAGATAGCGAAAGAATTTTAAAATGCGTGGATAAAATACTAGTGTCTCAGTAATGTACTGCAAATGGAAACCACACATTTGCAAGAAATCGTATTTCTCGTCACTTCCCTTGGTAGCGATAAATAATTAATGACAGATAAAATTCACACATGAAAATTAATGACACATAAAATTCAGGATTGCAGATATTAGCTGTAGGTTTGAATTTTAATCACATAATGCGTTTGGTCTAAAAAGGCACTTTCCTTTGTTCAAAAACCGTACTCCTGGGACAGAGAGCATAAGCTAACAAAAGTTCTTTTTTTGAGGTCAGAAAACAATAAATATCCTAGCTAATCAGCAAGGCTGTATTGTTGCTTGGCAATGTGCTCCTGGTAATTATGGAACACAGGCAGTTTGAGTTATTTTTAGCCATTCTGCTGATAAAGCAAAAGAATTAAGAGTAAGAAAGAGACTTCTTTGATCCGACACTGGAGGTTTAATCCGGTATCTTAAAGCTGTTAAAGCCTTTTCCGGTTTTCCTCTAGCAATTAGTTAAACTTATACCAAAAGGGCCCCTTCGGTGTTAAGCTAGTTGACTGTACCGGTACCTTTCATCCGTATTTTCCTTTGTCATTACGATTAGACTCAGGTTTCTTGAGGATTTTTAATGGAAGGTATTGGCGTAGGGGGGACATGTTTTGTCAGAAATGTTTTATAAAAATGATGGTAAGGGGTTAGACAGCGGGACAGCACGAATCTTTGTTGAGTAGCCCCCTCCTCCCCCCTCCCTCCGCCCTCCCCACCCAAGAGAAATCATTTCTTTTACTTGTATCTTGCTATAATATCTAAAACTTGAATTTACGCGTAACGAACCCTAGACACGACCCCACAAGCTTTGTGCTTAAAATTTGCTCGTTTCAGGTGAGGGCGACGACAGATAAACCCTTACATTTACTTTTCATTTGTCAGATGTACTTATTAGGCTCGATTACCATCCGCTCTTCGAGAAATGAGCCCGCCCTCCTTCCTCGAGGAGGACCGAGAGGCCAGATGGAGGAAATCGAGCCTACCACGCGTGACATAAGCACATATTTTATTACGACAATTTACGATGAATCACATCCGCAGCACGTATCCTCAAAGATGGCTCTTCTTCTTTTAATATGCCAAAATTAAACTTCTTGTATAAACTTTGCCTTCACCTAGAATGTTATGTAAAAAGGCGCGTTTACTAGCTTCGATCAGTTCAAACAGGCTAATTAAGTGTCGCTTCTTTATTCATGTTCATTCCCTTGTCGATAGTTGAACGACGTTTTCTGCATATTTCGATGCGAGATTGAACTGATAAAGACCCCCCATACAAGAACATTCAACAAAAAGACGGATGTTTTCAAGAACGGTCATGAGGCTATCAAAAAACTAAGTTATGACATTGGAAAACTCTGCAGATTATTTTCATAATCTTCTATTTAACAGTTTACAAAATGATTGATATTTTGTCTGAATGTAAACGTTAATATGTACATAATCGAATATTTAAAAATAGTGAACAACGACATCTGTAACATCTGTTGAGAAATTTACCTCTGAAGAAAAGTAAGGCTTACCTCAGTTATTCTTCGTCGACTTCTATGCAAAACCAGAGATCTTCCCTTGCTGCTTCACGTAGCTACCAACAAGCAATAAAAAATCATCAAAGCCCCGAAAAAACCTTTGATCATCTAATTGGATAGATGTCTAAGTCGTCTAACACGACCGGTAAATAAATCCGCATCATTTACTGTGGATCTCACGCATCGGCAACTCACCATAACACTGGATGACATTTTTTTCTTTGTTTTTATTCTTCTTAAGGGTCTGGAAGTGATAAGGTAATTATATGTTGTCAAAGGATTTTGAAATTAAAGAATTTCTTTCTTTTGTTAGATGACATGGCTCGACGAATCATTGGCCAATTCATTGGCCCATTTAAAGGGCCTATGTTACAAGGATATTAGTTCAATTCTGAGAAGAAGTTATTACATTAGTGCCTTTTCTCGTACCATCCGTACAATCCGTGGAAACCGACAACAGGAAACAGTTTCAACACTTAAATATTGGCTTAAATAACAATAAACTCGACCATTATTTTTGGAATTCAATTGATGCAAGGACACGTTTTAGCAACTAGCGCGACATAGCTAACCCATTTACCATTTTGCTTTTCTGTTAAAACGTGATGACACGGTTTTTTTTTTCAGTTCAGTTTATTTTATTTTTGATGATTTTTGAGAACAGATCTATGTTCATAGTCTCCGTATCGGTTTTCAATCACGTGGCCAGCATCTATGCTAATTTATTGGAACAAAAGAAAGTTTTTACATAAGAAAAGAGTTCAACTCTCACAGGATTGTCTTGGTACACCAGTATGTGGGCCACCGTCCCATTGTTTTGGAACACCAATATGGCCGTCGTGGCGTCAAGTGAAAACGCTCTTTATAATTAGTGCGAAACTCGGGGCTGAGCCTCTCCTTTGGGTACGACAACGTTTAATTTAATTTTGAGTACGTGAAATAAATTAACGCAAAGAGCTCTGTTTCACGGTTAGTTAGAATTTTACTAAAATCATTCGGTGAAAATGTGAACAAATTTCATTAGGCTGATACGATTTTCCTAGGTACTGGTTGCTTTTTACTTTTGTCTCATCTCCTCTCAACCTGCAAAATTTGATTCAGGATTTACACACACTTTCTTTTCTTCTCGTGGATTTCGACAAAGTACGTTTTTATATATTACTGAGTTTACTTGGGTTAAAACTGGGAAAATTATAACAGTAATTAGACTTTACGTTCAGTATTTTTTCTTACGATTTTTCAAACGAAAGCTTGTTGGGAGTATCTAGCATTTTTAGTCTGCTCAATAAAAATTACAATGAAAATTAAAAAGGTCTGTTCAGCCCTAAAGCGCTGATTTAGCCCTGCTCCCAAGAAATAAAATTTGATATGAGTTGTTTCGGTATACGAATTACAATTTTTAATCTGTTAGGTCATCGCGTCATCCTATCTTACATCAAATTCTTACTTAGTCTCCTTCTCTCAGCAGCAAGCTACGAAAACACCCAGTGAGAGAGGTTGCTAGTTTTAATCCCGCCCGGATTTTGTACATGCATTCTATTAAAGCTGGAGTACCCCAGTCACTCCGATTTCTCCGTAGTACCAAAAGCAAATGTCACACTTTTTCTTTCATCTTGTTGATGACTTAACGTGCAGTTTTTCTCCTTGGTGGCGCAGTTCTGCAAAGCACTGCAAGTCTTAGTTACAGATGAGGTTGAAGTAGCCCCGCCCTCTGGAACTTTATGGCTACCGTACACGAATGACAAGTATTGATCGAATTTCTCAAGTCTTGATGGGCAGGCGCTATCGACTCTAGCAGGTGTCAGCGGTCTCTTGACTTCTGATGTGCTTTCAGTAAATGAAATGTTATGGCGTATACATTTCTCTTGTACAGTGTTCATTACTGATTGTAGCTGTGTGCTTTTAAGCTTTTCCCAGGCGCAACGCTCGTTGTACGAGCGGTAAATTATTTCTTCTGGTGGATAGCTGAAAAAATAATAAATAAAAAAACATCAAGAACATTTTAAAGCACAGAGAGTGCAGATCTGTATCAAAGTTAATGAATAGTAATCAGCCGAGCAAGAGTTTGTATCAAAAATTAATTCTACTGTTTAATAGTACATGCGACTTAAGTGCTACATATGAAGCCCCGCCAGCTGGGGGTTAGAGCATTAGGGTATCCAAGGTCTTTTTTAATTATTCAGCTATACAGTATTCTAGTATCACAACGGCATAGAGTATCTCGTTTTCCTGAAGTTTTGGCATTTAGACGCGAGATTTGTACAATTCTTAGTGTCAAGGAGAAAATGGAAAAAGCTCGTGAGCGATTGCAAAAGTTTTACTTTGTATTTGGGTGTGTTCTTTCTCAGTAACTTGACAATTCATTTTTAGGTTCATTGTGTTCTCTTGTTTTGCAAGGCAATTTTAGGTATTCGGTATCAAAGATTTTTCAATTTTAAGGTAAATTGGCATCTCATGAGGAGAAAATTGGTATGTCAGTATACCACTACCGCCCCCCCCCCCCCCCCCCCCCCCCCCCCCCCCCCCCTTTGAATTTTTTTTTTATGTTCTTGTTTTTTTTTTTTTTGGTAGGGCTATTTTGGTAGTCGGTGTTAAAGATTTTGTCGATTTTAGGTGAAATGGCATCCCCGGAGGGGAAAAATAGTTATTTGAGAAACCCCCCCCCCCCCCCCCCCCCCTCCCCTTGTCAGGCCGATACTTCTAGACCCGCGTCTGTAATATTTCCTCGCTGCAAGTTGCTGTCACTAATTTTTTCTGATGCAGTGATTTTTTTTAAACGTAATCTGCGTTGTCTTACTCAAGTTCTTGCACTGCTTTCCTGGCCTGCCTCAGTGTATGTTTGGTAGAGTACCGGAAGAAGTCGTCTCGTTTTATTCGCAACATGACTGCTCCCTTGCTGACCAACATGAACTTCCGCCCTGTCGGTCTGAGAACCTGTGATACATCCTGCAAATGAAATTCATAATTATCATAATTATCATAATTTCCATTATCACGACGGACATCGTCTTCGTCAACATCATCGTTCATCATTGATCAACTGATACACTTTGACTCTGAAACGCCAGTCACTATCAACAACAATCCTATATTCAGGACCACGTTTACTCGCACGATCATGCTCCACCTCCTAATAATTAGCAGTGTTCTCAAAACTCAAATAATAAATGCGCGTCCTAGTAACCTCGGTAGGCTGATTTAGCAACAGGACGGGAACGTCATTTGACGACGGGTAAGGGCGCGGAAAGGACTAAACGCGACTTCCGGTACCCAATTTGCCGCTCTGCCATTGGTCAATTCAGTTGTTTGATTTGCGCGCGCAGTCGTCAACAGACGTTCCCGTTCTGTTGCTAAGTCAGCCTATTATGTGTTATCGTTTAAGCTGATCCCACGTAATATAATCTGACTTTACGATTAAACACTCTTGCATACCGTGTTAGGTTCGTTTTAAACACCTTGTTTGACGCTGTTGAATTTTGTTGGACGATATTGGATCAGGTTTTAATAGATTAAAACTTTTTGGTCATGACAATGACGGCACGGGATCCGGTGACACGAATTTCGTTGGAACAAAAAATGAAAGTGAGAAAATGAGAAATTCTAGAGGCCACCAAGGTAAAAATAAGCCGCAGGGAAAAAAAAGCAAGCAGGAACATATACGACATTTCCTCTATAAAACATGTAACTAGGAAGTTTCACGTTGTTGTCGTGCAAAAAAAAGCAAAGAAACGTACAAAAAAGTGTGCTACACGTGCAAAGCTGGTTTTTTTTTGCTAATTAGACCTATTAATTTTTTTGCCGTTCTCGTTGCCGTCGTCATTTAGCATTACACGAATTTATTTTTTACTTGAGTAAAGTATAAGATATATATTTACGAGAGCTTCGCTTTTAGCCCCGGCTAAATCTATATATTAGCTTTTTTAACATTTCTGTTTGACTATTAGTACTTACAAAGATATCGCCACTTTTCATCGAAGCAATGTTTAGATATACCACGTCTTTATTTAATTTTCCAGCTCTGGACTCAATTTTAATCAGTTCAGAAAAATCTTCGAATATATTATTGTCCCTTTTCTCCAGCTCAGCAGGGAGGATTTCTGCGCACTCGGTCTGTTTTGGTTCTTCTTCTTCCTCCTCGTCCTCGTCATCTTCGTTAAGGATGTAACTCGAATCTCCCTTGGCGTGCGGTTGATCCTTATATGGAAGGTCCATCGCCTCAAGAATCTTCTCGGCACCGTTTTTTTCATCGTCTGATGACTCGTATTCAGATTCAGACCAGGTATTCCTGTACATATAGAATGAAGTCAGCAATAACGCCATAGTATTTTTCTGCTGACATGTCATTTCTGGTGGTTGATTTACTTTAAAATCAGCAAAAATCAATCAAACATATTAATCTGCTATACGCTCATCAGCATCGTATCATTTTGCATTGCGTTCGGTTCTTTTATCGCATGCATTGTGCTCATATTGCTGTTCTGTTGGTCTGGATTGCAGCGAGGTAGTACCAATCGCAATACGCTTTCATGTCGGTATTATATTAGTGAGCCAAGCAACCACGCGCTACGACGACGACAATGACAACGTCAAAAAATTTGTTTTTTGAGCAAAAACAGCTCTGCATTTGCAAACCCTTTTAGTATATTTCTTTGACGTCACCTGCACGACTACGAAATCTCCTAATGCGACGTTTTATGGAGGACGTGAACATACCACGACGAATTCTCCTTTCTCTTTTTGACCCCAGGGGTCAATTTAATAAAACTTTCACAAGATTCAGTAATTTTCAAGTGTAGCTATTGTTTTCGGACCCTAAAACAATGGCTACACTTGTAAAAGTTTTATTAAATTGACCCGTGGACAACTGAAGTCCTTAACAATTCACCTCTAAGAATAGCCGCTTACGTTTGACAAATTTGGCGGGTCCAAACAGACGCGATAAAGTTTGAAAGGGCGCAAATTAATTTTTTTAGCGACGTTTTAAACGTTGTCGTCGTCGTAGATTCTTGCTTAAGCTCCCTAATTATATTATTGTTACTTCTCATACGTTGAAGTACTTTGAGTTGAGCTGTGTAGCGTTACGTTGCATTGCATTTCATAGCATTGCAATTCAACGCAATCTTTTGCCTAACCGCGTGATTTCATCATGGTGTGACATGCCTTATTTCTTTATAGTATAGTTCTGTATCGTAGTATATTTTTTCGTTTTACCTTTCATTTTCATCTCGATGTTCATCCACTTTATTACTGTCGTTAAAGCTGTAGGGTGTCTTCAAGCTCTCCTCCAACTCTCTGAGCCAGATTTTCGACGTGTCAGACTGAGTTCTTCGCTTCCTTCCAATTAGACCCATTGGAAAATATTCTTCATTGGTAGCTCGTCTTGGTCGAGGCAGCTTGAGTTGAGCTCGCAGATCAAGTGCTTTAATAACTGAACACTTCCCCTTGAAAAGAAAAATAACATTGTAATAATGCCAATTTGACTGACTGGCTGACTGTCTGACTGTCTGACTGACTGAACGACTGTCTGACTGTCTGACTGCCTGAATTACTGACTGACTGTCTGACTGACTGATTGATTGGCTAACTGACTGACTGGCTGGCTGACTGATTAATAGCCTGACGGACTGACTGGGTGCTTGAGTGACTAACTGACTGACCGACTGGCTGGCTGACTGACTTACTAACTGACTGACTGACTGACTGACCGAATGGCTGGCTGACTAAGTGACGGATTGACCCGCAGACTGACTGGCTGACTGACTGACTGACTGAATGACTGGCTGACTGACTGACGGACTGACATGATTGCCTGACTGGCTGATTGACTGGCTGACCGACTGACAAACTAGCTCATTGTCTTACTTGCTGGCTGGCTTCAAAAGTTAAAGATCTTGCATTCTCTATTTATTAATGTATTGTTATTATTTAACTTAATCTTTATTTTCATATATATATGACTACAAAAATTGACTGCTGGATTCGAAGGGTACAGTATTTTATCGATAAATACATCTTTAAAATCGGAACAGGTTATCATCAACACATCACATGAGTAAACGTAAAACTTACTTGCATGCAAAGATTAATCCATTCCACCTCCTTGCTGCTATCTTTTACGATAATTTTATTTGCCTTCCACTGAAAAGAGAAAAGATTAACCAGTCAGTCATAGGACTAAAATGGTAAAAATAGCATGTAATGTAAGTTGGCAAGAAGGTAGGAAGGGACAATGCTGGATCAAATGGAGTTTTTTTTATCCCCAACAATCAGAACTGAAGTCCAACACCGCTTTCACTACACTACCATATCCGGAACATGAGAATTTCGTTTGCTAGTTCCATACCGAGTATTTGTCAACAACTTTTCTTACCTCCTGAATTTGTGCCTCAATACAAACATTTTTAAGAGCATCATCAGTCCACTGTCGAAATAAAGACAAACTCCTAGAAAACCAATTGACATGAATCAGTATTTGACTTTGTTTTCTTAGGGATTTACATGAAAACACGCTTAGTTCTATCCAACCTCATCTCCTTTATCGGGAAGGTCCCTACGAAGGGGGTCGAGGCAGCCCTTACTAAGTGCGCAATGAAAGGACTCAAGAATTGGCTTTAATTAAACTGGATCCTGTTGGAAACCATGTTAGCAATATTCTTATTACTGTGAAAGTTTTGAACCTAGGAGTCTTTTCATAAGTAGGTTGAGTATGATCGTCCGGGTGAACGTTATAGTCCTGAATAGAACCGTTGTTGACAGTGACTAACGTTTCAACAACCTGTTCGGTAGTCATCTTCAGAGTCATAGTGAGTTGTATTAAGTCAGTTGACGGTATTAAACTCTGGTTATTGACTTGATTGGTCAATTAAGTCGCGATGTTACTGGTCGTCTTTCAGTTAAGCCGTGATGTTATTGGCTATGATGACTCGTAATTAATGTCATTGGTGCGTTTCAATCCGTCTATTATCACAGTTAAACAGTCGTTTATTGTTAGTCAAATTGTCAGTTGTCCAGTCGTTCTCTCGTAGTTAGTTTTACTTGATCCCGTCAATACGGTCGTTTGTACGGTGCCGGTTCTTATTACTGACAGTAGTCAAATTATTGTGTGTATCAGTAAAAAGCTTGTAAACCACAGATTTAGTGGATTTTGATTTCAAGTACTGTAGAACTATTTCTCTCATTTTTGTAAAACTTTACAAGTAGTTTACGCTTGCACACTTTTGATATTTTTTCTTTGATAATCCAAGTCACCTGACTCACAGTCGACTTGTAGCGAAAATGGGGAATAATTAGTCAAACTGTATTTCCTTTTGTTGCCCGTTTTGATAATGTCCATGTGTTATCGGAAGCGGTTATTTAAGTAAAACAGGTCACGTGACTTAACAAATGTACCAATTGATACCACCTTAAAAGGCGGGGTTATGTTAACTGGGATCTAAGATTATTTTAACCTCGAAAACTTTGACATATTTAATGTGCAAATGTACCCCCATTTGACCAAGTACGATAATTGATGTCATCAGGAGCGTAAAATCACGTGACGGTATATAACCCCTTCGTTCGATCAAACGCTTCGAATTTTAATTTTAAGTTTCACGACTAAAACAAACTTGTTCCTACTAGCAAATGGAAACCTTGATGTCTATAAAAAATTCGAAGGCTTAAAACACTTGGGCTATTTGAAAAACTGACAAAAAATACGAATTTGAAGCTGATTATAAAACTACTTTCATAAAACGATAAATGCTTTTGTTGCCACTTACTTGCAAAATTTGATCTTGTCTACAAGCTCCTTGTCAAAAATTTTGGGACATGTTTTGGAGAACACGTCTTTTTCAACGACGAGAAGTTCGGCGTCCTCTCTCACCACAACTGAAGCCGTTCTTTTGATATTTCTTAGAAGAGCAAGCTCCTTTAGAAAACATAGATAAGGCAAATTATGCAAGTGCTTATGCAACCTTTGGAAAGAAACTATTGACGTATTACAAGCTTTCTATTGTTGAACGTGACATGAAATTTTTAAAAAAAACAAGAACAACCAAGCCCGTATATCCTGGACATGGGCACGTGACTAATACTTAAAATATTCTGGAAGCGAATGTAAATAAATAAATGCAAATGGTTTTACCACCTGTTGCACGCTTCGTCCACAGGCCATGGCATCGATTACCTTTGAACCTTTGCACTTATCTATCAAGAGATCTATTGATAACAGTGATCCTCATGAAAAGGAAGATTTAGAATCACTTGTATGGCAAAACAGTAAACGTTAATTTATATCACTTGTGTGATCAAGTTTTCCGCCTCCACTTGTCGTTTCAGAGTCGTTTACTCTTCTTTATATGACTTTACGAAAAGGTATTATCATTTTGGACAATTTGTATCTGCTCATTTTCCTAATCTGAATATCAACTTGAATCAGACGTTTGCCGTTTGCCGTTTACCGTAAACGTAATTCTTAAACTCTCTAATATGTAATTTGTAAGCGCTTACCCCAAAACTATCCCCTCTTTGTAGCGTGATTGCTGTGTGCCACATCACGTGACCAGTCTTGAGTAAAAGTTCCTCGACGTTCACAAACACAGAACCAGAGAAGATGAAATAGAAACTCACCCCTGTATGTCCTTTGCGCAATATTACGCGGGGGTGTTCCACTCTGCAAGGAAGTATTATATATGATGGCATTGAATCATTATCACCTAAAGGAGCCCTGCTCGTAAAGGCTTTATCCCGGAGGGGGTACTCCCTGTAACGTCATATACGGGGAGGCTCCGCTTGAAAGGAGTATCTTTTTCAGGCTGCAGGTATATCAAAGTGTAGGGATTCCAAGAGTTTAAGTATATGTCAGGGTAAAGAAATCTGCTATTTCGATCTATAAAAGGACTAAAAGGGTTAACAGACACATTCTAGGGCTGTAAAAAAAAAAAAAAGAAGTAAACTTCCCGTTATAGTGATTTATTCATATTTTAAAGCAGTCAGTAAAGACTGTATTCTCAGCAGTTAAAGGGAATGCAGCGTTCTAATTTAGGTATGTGAAAGGAATACCATTGGTCCGTAGAAGGTATACACAAGGGTACCTTTTCGATCAAAAATGGCATATAAAAGGGTAAGGGGCTGGAACTCGGCGCATACACCGAATGCAAATATGGCGAACCTCTCAGCAGGCCCGGGTCTAGTTGCGCAAAAGCGAGGATAGTTAGGCATCAAGAGCTTTGTTTTCACTGTGCGTCTTAGCGATTGAGTCGATCGATATGGTTTATTTCGAGTTGTTGCGTGCCTGAGCACAACCACAAAGGAGATTTTACTCCAGCTGGAACTACATTTACTTTCCCAAAATCTTTTCACCAAGAAAGTTAAGGATTCATGCGATTTGGCGCAGCGATGGAAAGCACTTAACAGAGAAAAAAAAAGTGTGCTCACTTCACTTGCTTTTAATAGAAGAGAGGGCTCATGAAAAAATTTGAATGAAAGAATTTTCGCAACAGATGGTGCTGTTCCATGATGTTTGCATGGTCTGTTTATGTATCCAACAAAAGGGAAACATTCTATATCAAACGTCGTTGGGCAGCACCCCGGGGAGGGGCCTTATGTAAAGTGGAAAGCAAATAATCAGGAGAGGCACAAGACCAGAAAATGGCTGTCAATGCTGGTGGGACCTCGAAATGACGGTATCTCTTTTTGAGTCTTAAATTGCACTATTATAGATTAATTTAAGGGAACAAAATTTGACCTAGTTTTCCTTGCAAGTCATCGCCAATAGAAGAAGCGATAGCATCCCTCAAGTCAGTTTTGTTGTTGTTGTGATAGCTCAGTTTTGTAGTTTAGCCTTACTTGGTATATGTCATTGCTCTGCACATAGCCAGCTGAATGCGGTAGGTAAATTTATCATATGATGCCAGTCCTTTAAGCATGGAGTGTAACTGACTCAACTCGTTCTCGCTCCTTTCCATTGCTGGTTTGTCCAAGATCTTCTTGGCCCACGAGGGAACATAAGCGTATTGCTATGGGGGAATATGATACAGAAACGTTTTGGTCAGTAAATAAAAATTTGCAAAACAGTGAATGCCCATGAAAAAAAAAAAACGTGACGAAAGAGGAAAGAAAAAAATGTTCAGAAATCGAAACTTTGACTCAAGCTAAACACGCAGGTAGAAACCGCTACCTGGGAAAACTACGGGACCTAGAATGAAGTTACCTATACAATTAACATGATATGATATGATATATAGTCGAACCTCCACGTGCGACCACCTTCCGTAGGCGACCACCTCGTATCCTCCTATAAGCGACCACCTTCCCAAAACACCAAAAATGTTCTCAGTCAAGGCCTTATACTGGAACCTCACGTAACTTACGACCACCTCCCGTAAGCGACTGCGACCACTTTTTCGGCGGACAGTTTTAGAATTTTCTATTATTTTCAAGCTGCGGTAAGCAACCACTTGACACATGTTCTTACTAAACTTGCAGTGAAGTACATTGTGAAAATGGACAAAATTAAAGGAACTTATTTTCTGGCTGTCATTTTTGTCTACACATCTAGATCAACAATATTAACCTTGACCCTTGAGAAAAAGACTCAGGTTTCCAGGTTTCAGTTTAAGAAGTTAAGTTTTTGTTCCTCAGACGTTTTAGGGACATTTCTGTACAAGATTACAAGTTAAATTTTTTCACCTCAAATTTATAACGCACGTTATAAATGAAGTGTCATATAGAATGCTTTTGTCAATAAAACTACCAGTAATGGGCAGGGGAAAGTAAACTTTCATTATTCTTTTAGAATAAATATGCCACTCCATTCAAGATTGACCTAACAGTTTCGCCCCTTCGGTCCGACTCTCGTAAGCGACCACCAACCCTTTGCATTTTAGGTGGTCGCTTAGGGGAGGCTCGACTGTATACCTCAAATCAGGGGCAACCAACGACTGTTTTCTGTAAACTGTTCGGAGAAGCAAAAATTTCATGGAATTTTCTATAGCTGGAGGAACGCTAAAAATTTCTAGTGACCGTTCCATTCATGTACTGTTTTCTATGGATTTCAGTTTTAGTGTGAACTGAAGTTATCTTTCCATACATTAGACCTTTCATTTTATTCTCTCAGTATATCACCTCCCCGATCTCTCATAGCTAGTTGACTAAAGTATTGGGCATTTGGGCAAAAAAACTGTATTCATACTTCAATATTTTTGGGACATTAACGTTTTCCTTGTACATTTGATATTTATTATTGAAAGAAACTGATGCATGTTCTGTGTGGTGCAATTTACTCGGAGATACTGTATTCGGTCACCACGGTCAGAAAACAATATGTATGTTCTTACTGATTTTCCTCTCTGGTACAATGACTTGTTGAATAGCATCTCCTTAACTTCAGAATTATCTCTCAATGTCCGAAATGACCTCTGAGCCGCGGTCTCCGGTGTCATGTCAGCGGAGTATGACATCAGAGCCTTGAGAACTCTTCCAAGAACCATCACCACCCGAATAGCCCAACTAAACTTGGATTTTGCCTATGAGAAGGAAGATATTTTATGACACAATTGATCGGACGCAGCGAGGTATTGGAAGTAATAGAGCAAGCAAAAACCACCCCAAAAAGTTTTTTTATGCTTGATCTTAGGGCTAACTACGACTGAAAAATTAAGGGGGGGCTAGTAACGGGAGTTTATCGGGTGGCCTTTAACAGTAAGAGGATGATATGTCCCCCGGCCATTATGAGAGAAAAGCAGGGCGGGGCCTTTTGTTCTTCTCTTTTTTTGACACTCTGCACTGCTGTTATCAATGAAAAGAAAGAACCATGACACCTTTATCAGGTCTAGGATGGACTAGGATGGACTGAATTCAAGTAATATAGTTGAGATAAAATCTTCTCTTAAAACTGTTATTGCAAAATGCGAGCGTTAAAGAAAAATTAAAGTTGAGAATGAAATTAAATTGTTATTGGATTTCAAAAAATATAAATTAGATTGTTAAAAAGCAGTATTAATTGAATTAGCTTCGTGAAGAGCAGCCTTATGTCGAGGTAAAAAAAAAAAGGTTGTTTCCAGTTTACTTACAATTTGCTTGGTCCACGATCTCTTCTCAGCCAGCCATTTTTTCTTCTCTGTAAAACTCTTAAAGTTAAATCCTGCAGCTGAAACGTTCATAGCCATGACAGCGAACGTGGCGCTTTTGAGAGTCCGTCTTCTGTTTTTGAGTGCCTCAGTTTTTCGCCTCTCCTCCTCCTCTCTACTTAGTCTTTCTTGTTCAGCTTTTTCTTTGTCCGCTTCCATGATACGTTTGATGCGTCGTTTCGCAGACTGCTGTCTGATCTTAGCTGTTAAGTCGGCGAGATCTGGTAGATCACCCGTGTATTCCGTACCGCGAATTTCAAGCACATGCTTGTGCGCGTTTAAGTCACTTTTAATGCTGGAGGACGGGCGATGCAAAATCGGTCCGGCAGATTGAGACCTTTTTCTGCAGTCGAGAACATCACCGTCAAGAGTTTCTGCCTCAAATGCAGAAACGTCTATCCTTGTTGCCACATGAGCCGTAGTTTCCATTATATCTTCATCATTTAAGTTTGGGTATCTAATGCTGGCTTTACCAAATGACTGTAAAAACTGATCTCGCCGTAAGCTACTATTCCTTCTGCTGTTGTACCAAGCCGTGAACCTTGCGGCGTCGAGAGAAGTGCTTCTTCTTCTCAAATTGAGCGTAGCGCTGCTAGGTAATAGCCGTCCTTCCTTGGAAAACCCCTTGACATGTCCCTGGTAAGGATCCTTGCTTTCTTCGTCAACGATTTCGTTGCCATTTTCGTCCAAGAACATCACTCGGCTGCCTCGTCGAGATCTTTCAGTTCCCTTAGTTACTTTGTATTGGGGAGGAACAGTTATAATCGGAACAGCAGATAAACTTCTCCTTGTTACAAGCTTTGGTTCCATATTCTTAACTGTCCGATGTTACCTTTTGCATCATTATAACTTTACAATTATTGATGAGCAGCAGCTAAATGATATTGTTTGTTTTGTTTGTTTGTGTTTTAGTAAACAATCTTAGAAGTAATTCTTTTTGTACTGGAATTTTGAAAGTTCTGTACCTCCCAATACTTCTGTACGGCCACTTTTCAAGACTTGCATCTCACGGTCTCAAACTACCGTGAATCCGGCAGGAACATGCATCACCATGGATTTATAGCCTGTTGAAATTGTATTTCGTGTCTCTTTGAAATCCAGTATTGTAGAATTGATTACTTCACCGCGTTTTAAACTTGGTCTAGTCGAACAAGAGTATGCCATATACCTATAGTTCACTGATTCCATCCCATCTGAGAGTTTGCTTTTCAGTCTGTTTAGTTTTTCATGTCACTTGAAGCACTCGAAGTCTGACGATACACTTGTCAGTTAAACTGAACAGAGTTAAGAGGGAATCGATTCAACAATACTAACGACTAAAGTTTTAATTACATTGCCCTCAATACTACAACACAAAAGAATGATTTGCATCCTTCCATAAAACAAAGACGGTACGTAAGGGACTTCTTAACATAAAAGTGGTACTTTTAACTAATTCTCCGATAGTCTCTGGAGAATTCTGTACAATTGTATTAATATTGAATGTAAATTTGACGCACTTTTCATAATGAGTTATTGTCACTGGCTTTTCATCAAAAGTATTTCATTTTATAGGCCGACTGTATAAATAGATATCCATCAGATGTAAGTGAGACTTACCATTGATTTTTGAAAAAGGAAAAGTATTTGCTGATGTAAGTTTATAAATGATACAGCTCTAAAAACTCTGAAATGGTCAATCCTTTTCCGCAAATTATTACTTAGCCTGTTCCACATGGCAGGCGTTCATGAGTGCGGCGAGAAGTCACAGAGCAGAGATAAATACAATAAGGACGGTGAGGGCCACCCCTCGGCAACCCCTCGGTACCCTGGGGACGAGGTTGCTGCAGTGTTTTCAGGGGCCTGGACCTAGGAAAATTGGTCCCAGATCTCCAGCGTTCATAATCCGACGCCGAAAGTCTTATGGGATAGCTGGATTTGAATTACCTTTAAAATTCTTATTGTTATTGCCTATGAGTATAAATGTCGACAGCACTTCCTTATTTTACTGCGGGTTACACGCCGAACATGCCACAGGTATGTTGAGCAATACTTATTCTCAATTTGCGAGTTCAACAATGTAAAAATTATATGCGAACATGTTTAAAGTCGGCGGAAAGACCTGCACAGTCCCAAGGTTGCTAATCGAACGAAACCGAAACAAAAATCAATCGAACCCAGTCGGTCGGATTGTTGTTCGAACGTTCTAGTATAAATGTGAAGCAGTTTTTAATTAACCTGGAGTTAACTAAAATCTTTATTGTTAAAGCGATTCAAAATCGATAAAATTCACAACTTTATTGCTTTTTTGTCTTGATAAGATAACAGGCAGTACAAACTGCTTAACGACGGTAACACCTTCACAGCTGGACCGCTATCTCCCCTTTTCTTCTTAACAACAAACTTTTTACTGACACAACAGGCGGCCCAGACTCTGTGGCAGTTCGTTAGACTTATAGCCCACTAGTAGCGAAAAGTGCTGGCTTTTTGGTTGCAAACAAGGATTAAAGTCTAGCTTTCACTAGCTTAAGTTGTTTTGTCTCGATAAGCTACTGACTCAGAGCCCATTCGGGCTCGGGGACTAATTGCTAATTATTTAAGTAAGTTGCAAGGCACCACCAGGTGCTGCTGGGTTAGAGGTACAGTCCTTAGATGTCACACACCATGTTAACGTAGGAGTAAAATTCCCAGGATTGACATACTCACATGCTATTAATACTTTGTTTATCAGGTACCAAGGCCTTATAAAAGGCCTTATTGGTGCATGGATTGCTCACCTTCATCTTCAGAATCTTGCTGGTCAGGATTTACCTTTTCTGAAGGACACCATGAGATAATTGCTTCTTTAATTAAATGCTCAAATACAGAGGAACAAGGAAATGCAGACTTTAAGAAATGCTTGGACAAGCATTCGGCGAAAAAATGGCTTCACTCTAGCTGCGTTCCCTCTAAAAAGGGCAAACCTCGCTTCCCATTAATACATTGGGTCTGTATTCTTGGAAAGTACAGAGTCTTGGAGTATCTTGTGAAAGAGAAAGGATTTGACTTGTCAAAGAAAATAGGTCGACACAAGGACGGGCCTTTGCATTCTATGATTCGCTATCTTGGCAGTAGCCTGAATCCAAGAAGTTCTTCTGAGTATGTTGGAAACATTTTTCTTAACGTCTTTGCCATATTCCTGAAGTATATGCCTGAAGTGTTGTCAGAGAAAGATGTGAAATCACACGACACTTTGCTGCATTTTTTGGCGAGACGTTGCAACATGAACCCTTGTTCTCGACTATATTTAAATGTTCTGTTGGTTAAGATCAAAGAGACCTCTTGCATACCACCAGAAAAAAAGGATGAAATCTTATCAGCAGCAAACAAGAGGGGGGACACATTTCTCCACCTCATTGTTTCAGATGACAGTTCTGCTAACACTGTTTTGTATTTCGTTGAGAACTTTGGAATAACTGCTCAGAGATTGTCGAAAACCTGGAACACTCTTCACAAGACACCACGTCAAATTGCAGTTGAAAGAAGGTGTCTTGCAATGCTAAGGGCATTAGGAGCACCAGATGCAGTGTTTAATAGTTTATCCAGAAGTATAACAACACATAAAGAGGAATAATATGTCATGACTTGAAAAGTTTTATGTCTTAGCCACATAAACATAACAACTTTCTTTAATTTACCAGACATGTTTTGACGGTACATCTGTCATCTTCAGTGTTACATATTTTGAAATCGCCGTCGAATTTTAATTGCGTGCAATGCTACAAAGTTCATTACATTGCATTGGCAACATTGTGTACTGAAAAGTTTAAAATTAGTGGCACTTAGCTACTTACAGGGAGAGAGTCAGGTTTATGTGTTTCACCTGCTGGTTAAGGACAGGTTTCTCCCATTTTATGAACATAGATTGTTTGAGCTTCACTTGGTATTTAGTAGCTGCAGAATCCAGGATCTGGAAGCAGTCTGGTGTGCAGGATGTTCGGCAAGACTCTGAACTCTGCAGATGTCTAAAAACGTTTGAAGACCTGTCGGAAAGTAAGTGCTCACGCACTCATGTGGAGAAATGTCGGCTGGTTTCACCAACATAACAAGCATTACAACTTGTACACAAAAATTTATAAACCACAAGGGTCCTGTAAATGAATCTATGAATCAATGAATCTATGTTCATAAAATGGGAGAAACTTGACCTCAACCAGCAGGTGAAACACATTAACCTGACTCTCTCCCAGTAAGTAGCTAAGCATACTAATAAACTTTTCAGTACGCAATATTGCCAATACAATGTAATGAACTTTGTAACATCGCGTGCAATTTAAATTCAATGGTGATTTCAAAATATGTAACACTGAAGATGACGGATGTACCATCAAAACATGTCTGGTAAATTAAAGAAAGTTTGTGTTTGTGCGGCTATCGATATTGTTCTGCTGTCTAGACCTTTCATGTCTTAGTTTTATACTCTGTATAAGATACTATGTAGCGAAGTCTCTATCTATTTATCAACTTATTGAATTCTAAACAGACAGGTTATGTAACCCATGACGCAAATTTCAATGTATTTAATATATCAGGTTTTTTGATAGTAAGAGAAAAAAGTTTTCGAAGGTCAGGCTAAAAAAAGGGAGAGTGAAAAAGATCTAATCTAAGTTCTGGTCAAAGTGAGTACCGGTAAAAAACATTAATTTAATTTCAAAATCAGTTTAACAGTCGACTAGTGAGTTGCCAATACAACATTCTATTGCATGTTACTGCAATAATTTGAAGAGATGCCTGAAATAAAGCCCCAACCAATGTCTAATAAACTGTTAGATTAGATGAGGAATCTTTTAGGGTCTTATTCGATACACAAGAAGTGGCATAATTTTGCATGGAAATCCAGATTACAATTATTTTTGTTGTTGCAAACTGAAACAAAAACTTTAATATGCTATATCTAAGCCATTTTTTTTCTCTAAAATTGATTACTATATCCAACTAACTTTCTTTTTACATCACGTAATGAACTTTTCATTAACCAGTAACTGTTGAGAACTTAGGTTGAGTTATATGGATTTTCAAACAAAATGCTATCTTAAATCTATTCAGTATTGGCGAACTTTTGCTATTTTACAGATCTTTTTTTGTTTCTTCGCAAAAGGTAATATTATGGCCTGCAGTTTATAGGCCTTTCCCAAATTCTTGTGAACAAAAACACCAACTGGAGGCTTGTGGTGACAAATTACATTAATATGTAAGAAATTGTCCAACCAACTGAAGCGCCCACCTAGTTTCATTTTGTTTACTCAAATGGTCTACATGTACTTATTTACTTCCCCTGTGCCACAGTTTGGTTTAAATAGGAGTTTCACATCAGTATAAATCAGGTTTGTCAAAATGTTTTTGTTGTGGTATAAATTTACCAAAAGGCAATGTTAGTGACATTATAATGTTCCCAGAAGGCTGCACTACTGAGAGACCAAATTTACAGATTTATGGACACACCATTTGCAAAAATGTTTTTTAAAAATACAGTGAGTTTACATACAAATTGTTTAAAAATAAATATTCCTATGAATAATAATAGCGTCAAAATTTATTAGAAGACTTCATATCTTGTAACATGTTGGGCAAAAATTGCAGCACAAATTAATGATTAATTATTATGTTACAAATAGGTTAAAATAGATATTTGTTGTAGAATTGTAAGTATAAGTTTTGCATCTACTAAAAGGTTATGATCAAGAAATTTGTAAAAACTTGAGTTATTATATAAGTGCAATCTGAATATCTTGTGTTATTTCTTGTAGGCAGGTTGAATCTATTGAGTTTTTTCTTTGACACAGGTTGCATGGTTTAATTTTTATATGTGTTGGGTTGTAAAATATAAAGGGCCACATCCTCTACTACAATCTACACTTGTTTTTTTTCTGTGTTCTTGGGTTTGAAAATTCTTCTTGGATGTGGCTTAAACATGATCATCCAGATGAGTGTGGTCCTGGCCTCAAGAACATTGTCGTTAGAGACAGTGATTTAACAACACGAGCATACTCAGTCTGAAAATAATTAAAATGCATTGTTTTCCTGAAGGAATTAAGAGCCACATAAGGCCTTTGGTGGTGCTGTCGAAATTTCTAACCCGTTTTAATGTCTGACAAGAGTGAGCAACATCAATTTTACCCAATATGATCTACACCTCATTAAGGGTGAGAATTTAAAAGAGGCTTAAATAAAATGATGCCAAAGAGAAATTTATGCGTTGATCTCTTATGAAATTCTCTCAACTAGTCCTTTAGTGAAATGTGAGTAGATCAGTAAAGAGAATTTCTGTTTGGTCGTTGGGACATAAAAGGAACGTCTCCCGTTTCCAAGAGCTGGGGCAGATTGTTCATAGACAGCTTGGCGGTTAATTTTGTGGAACGTAGTAAAAAGATGAAGGCGAATTAACAATGATGACAGATCAGTATATAAAACTTTCAGCATCTTCACTCCGTCCCATGTCTTTTTGAGCCTTTACTTTCACTGGCCAGCGACAGATTCTCCCTGGAGAGAATAATTCTGAATATTTTAACTACCTCTCGGTAACCAAAGTAGCCACGCGGGGCGACAGTACACCTTCCGCGCAAAAGGCCGGTCGGTTTCAGGAGCTCCTTGCAGTGAGTAAAAGTGAAGGGATCCTTTGGAAACTGAAAGGTTGTAAGTTTATGAAATGCTAGCGACCGTGGAGAAGGCGAGCGAACAGCAACCTACTAGGGGAACAGCTGCAGCCACGGAGGTTGATTTTAACAGAGAGCGTGCGGACTCAAAGGTTTGGGAACTATTCACAGCAGTAATATCTCTGGGCGTTGATATGTAGGCAAGCGTCGATGTAATTTAGCTTTATTTAAATGGTTTTGTCTTTTTACATGTAAAATGTAAGAGGTGTATAAAGAAAAGCAAACCTGGGCAAATACTTATGCGGAGAGTATGGAAAATCGGGGTACAAAATTATGATTATTGTTTCATTGCAAATGCATTAAAAATTTGGCGCTTTGTAAGTCACGTGGAAATTTCCACGTGGTCCTCAAGATAATTTTTCCGATCGGAGACTATTCTGTATATCCGGCGCAATTTTTCAGCGATTACTATTTATGCCATTCTTGCTTTGCTCTTTCAATGTTCTGAGCGTTAACTTCAGTGGCATGTTCAGCGAGACAAGTGTTTATGAGGCCAAAAAATCAAACAAAAACAAACAAAGAAGTAAACAAATATTAATTCGCCTTTAGACATAATACGTAGGCTTACATGGCATAGTAACTGCTGCAAGATCTTCACCGCTCACGGGCGGGCTTTCGGAGTTTTCTCCTCGAGTTTCTTTTTGGCAGTCAATATTTCTGCAATGGCTTCAAAGAAAGGAAAGGTCTGTATGAAAATCTTTTTAAATATTAGCCAAGGTGTTAAGTAAAAGGCTTGTTGAAATCTTTGTGATACAGAAGACTTTTTCATGGCTCCATGTCAACTCTGGATTGAAACGTGTTTATAAGTATAAACAAAGCTTGAGTCTTATTTGGTCACATTTTAATTCTGGATTGATTTCGGATCTAGTGCAATCACTTTAAATGCCGATTGACAATTTCAGAATACCCGGCCACTTGTCGGAGCGCTTTTAAAGAACGAACCGTAAACACGATAGTTTCTTTTGTTATTCAACGACATTCAAGTATTAAAGCGGCCCGGTATTCTGGAATCTAGCTACCGATTGTATTTCCAAAGTACGATTTTTATGCACTTCAATCAAAAGCACCGAATAGACAGTTAGCCTGGTTAGTGACAACACGCAAGGCATACATGTAAATGGTGTCTTTTTTTAATGCTGTGACCTTATGCCTGGTTACCCAGGGACCGCGCAGCACGTTTTCGAGTGGGGGGGCTAAAGAAGAATGCGTGAAGGAAAATTTTTTTTGGGGGGGGGGGGCCGGGGGGGGGGCATGCTTGGGGATTTCTATTCAATTTCTCTAAAGTGACGGAGAATGTGAATAACGATAAAACTATTGATTTTTTCCACATCTTCAGTGATGTTGCTATCGGGTCTGAAAATTCACCATCACTAAATTGAAATATCATAGATTGTTATGTTATACTACTGATATCAACCTTTTATTAGAGGGTCTCAATGGGGTTAACCGATAGGCGTAAAACGGCCAAAAATTTAGTCGATAGCCGTAAAAATTGAAAAATTTTAACCGTTAGCCGTAAATTGGGTAAAAAAGAGTTAACCGTAAAAGTAATTGTTCCCTAGATTTGTTAATTTTAAGGGAGGTGCTTAACTCGCTTATGGTTGCGTTTTTTATTTTCCGGCTACTTTGACTCCGTACGCACGTTAGGCGAAAAGCCTTTTAGGTAATGACCAAGACCTAGGCTCCATTTCCGCCGCTATCTCGGGAAACTAATTTTTCCTATAGCGAAAGGGGGCTTCTTCCTGGGAATTAATATTTGCGATTTTCAGAACGTCGTGCTCTCGAAACACTAGTGAAACAACACGCAGAGCTGTTTGTAAAACACGTTGCCGATAAACAACATTTTCCTGTTTTTCTCTGACGCTACGGTAGACATTGCCATGCCTAGTCCCTGCATGTACGGCGTCTTGCCACGCAATCT